AGGCGTGAGCCACCGCGCCCGGCCCCAACTTAGTTTTAATGCCAAATTTATTTAAAAAAACAAAACACTTGTTGCCAGGGCCTAGGGGTTAGGGGGAGTGGGGAGTTGTTTAATGGGTACAGAATTGCAGTTTTACAAGATGCAAAGAGAGCTGGAGATGGATGATGGTAGCACATTATGAATGTATTTACAATACACTTAAAAATGGTTAAGATGGTAAATTTTAAATTTGCATATTTTACTACAATATAAATATTTGGAAAAGCAAAGCAAAAACTACTTTTGGTTTTCAGAATTCTAGAAATAGGACCATAAGCCAATACTTGGTTATAAGGCCTACCCTTCTAATCCTGATGGAATTTTGAAAATAAGGTACTCAAGTTTTCTGTGCCTTGTTTTCTTCTATCAGACAAATTAAATCATAGCAAACATCTTCAAAATGAGACAATAAAATGTTCAAATTGTTACCTCTTTCGTTGAGTTTTTTATTATTCAGATAACTTAGCAAGAATGGCTGGACAGATTATCCAAACGAATTTGGTATCCAATGGGTGTATCTCTGGAAAGAATGAACCCTTTGGGTCGGCACCGAGCACTCTGACTGTTCTGGACGATCAGGATCTTCAGCAGCACAGGAAGGCAGGAGGACTCAGCTACAAACAAACACAAGCTCAGACAAGTCCAACAAAATGGTGACACAAACAGAGTTTGTTTTCAGGTTCCCAGCCTTTGCTTCTCTGGCTCGGCCACACCTACCTAAGACTTCACAGTCTCCCCAGTCCACACTCTGCCTGGTCCTGCCTCATCCAATTGCCTATTCTTCTGACATTCCCAACTTCTTGTCCCCAAATTGAAACTCTTCTATATCCCATTCCCTGAGGATCCAGCTATTTATATTACAAAAAATTACTAAATGCACTAATTCATGTAAATGTATTAACATGTTTACTAGGTCAATATGTTCCTCTCCTATAGAACACAATTTCTCTTTCGCCAGAGAGTATTTCAAAGGCCATGCTTTAACCCAAGGAGGTATTTAGGGGAGGGGAATTAACCCTTATTAAGGGCCTAATATTTTTCAAATTTTTCAAATATTTTTGAGGTACTATGCTAAGTACCTTGTACAAGTTATTTCATTTAGTCTTCACTTAATATTGCCATGACAGGTTGGTATTATATTTTTTTACAGGTGAAGAAACTGCGGTGATGTGGTCATTTGTTTAAGGTCACACAGACGGTCAGCAGTAGTTTAAGGATGGGAACCCATCCTCTTTCTAGCACTCCACCCACTTCCACAAAGGAAGTCGCCAAATCCAACACTCAGCAACACAGCGAGGAGAGTATTTCGAAATAGGCAGCGCCTTGTGGCTCCCAGAGCCAATCAGATTCTCTTGCTATTTCCCTCTTTCCAAATTTCTATTTACCCCTCAATACCCACTGGTCACTACACTATGCAAAACACCATACAGAGAGGCCCTTTCTCAATATAATTGTTAAAAAATCTGCACATAGCTACAGTACTCATAAAATTCTCTAACAAGAAAAGATTAATAATTAGGGGCAGAATGCTTTGTGAGATCAGGTTCATAGAGGGTAGCTCAGTGTACATGTGAAAGATCAACATAAATATCAAAATTATAGTCCCGAAAGTGTCCTTGACACAAAACATCCAAATTTAGCAGATAGAAAAGACTCCCGGAATTGGCCACAGCTAAATATACCCATGCTTGTCGCATGCTGCTTGTACGGGTGTCTCATCACACTGGGGTACCCACGGGAACTTCATTCCCTGTAACACAGCTTCAGTTGGGGGTAGCTAGAGGCTCATTCAGCCAAGTACCCAACATGCTGTGGCACTCATTTTAATCCCTAGGACAGGAATTCCATGAGGGCAGGAATGTTTTCACAGCTATATCCTCAGTGTGTAGAACAATGTCTGACATGGGGCAACTCAACAAGTATTTGTTGAATAAATGAATGAACGTCTTCACCTCCTTTCTCTGGAATTCTTCATAGCCTCTTATCTCATCCCTTACCACATTTATCCCACATTTTCTAGTGGTCCCTCTAAATCTCTAAACTCTTCTCCAAATCTTTAGTTCTTCTTCCTCTTCTTGCAACAGAGTAGATTTGAAACAAGCAAAAAATATTTGTATTGGGTATATGTGTATTTCTAGTGGAGAAATGGAAACAATACTCTTAGAAATAAGAGTTAAAACAAGAGAGAAAATATGTGGTAAATGCATAGTGCATCCAGTTCTTATCAAATGCAGATACGTGTAATGCTAAAATTGTAGCAGCTGTGTTTATTTCATAATTTAGGCTTTTTTTTAAAGTGCAATGTGTTTATTTTAATGTCAGCTTGATGTCAAGTTTGAAATATAACATGAGTTTCTCTATATGTTCTACCTCTTTTCGTAGAGAATCTTTTAATATTTAAATATAACCTACACTCCTAATTCCCAGCCCTCATCATATACCAATCTAAGGGGAGAAATCTCTCAAAAATTGTGTGTTGACAGAATGCTCTAAAATATGTTCTAACCAATAAAGTGGGAAAATAAATTTGGAAGCAACAATCTAAGCTTTGTTGTATTTCACAAAAAGATCTGCACTTAAAGGAAATAAAAACATCACATGTGCAATGGCACACAGGGTTGCTATGGTAACGAACTACATTTTTTAATATTTTACTCTTCAATCATGGTTCATATGAGCTATTACAACCAAATAATGTCAACATTCACTTCCTTCTGATCACATAGAGGTCTCTGGAATAAGCTGTACTTACAGTTCAAGGAATTCTCATTTTTTTAACCAATCTTCTTTTGCCTTTTCTAGGAATTATAATTAAAATAAAAAATAATGATTAATATTTGGCATTGGGATTAAATTTGCACAATCATTTTACTCATGTAGGGATGCTCCTAAAATGACAAAAGAAATATAACAACCACAAATGTCAATTTAAACTTTTAAAATATTGTTCTGTGTGTATCTGTGTATGTGCGTGTATTCTAAGTAGCAATGAGGTCTCCATGGGGAATAAGGAAAAATAAGAAGTTTAGAAAAATGTATTTGGTTTTACTAAATGGACACATAAAATGGGTCTACTTTTCCCACAGCTGTGTTTATGTGAACATTAAAAAATGGCTACTATCCTGAACTATTCTATCATGTTTCACTAAACTTTGATTTTTACAATTTATTTCAAAATGTACCCCAAGCATTGCCTGTGGGCACATTTAAATCCCTACCAACTAATGTGAAGAGAAGCCCAGCCACCTCCACTACGTTAGGTAGAATACTGGCTTTCCTGGACTCTCTAGCCCCTTTCTCCTCCTCCAGCCACCTGGAAAACGGGCCACCCTCAGAACAGTCATGTCTTTCACTATGACCAAAAGATCACACCAGTAATGAGGTGTTTCCGAGTCAAGCAAATGTAAATCTACTCTGTAGCTGCTGCTCCATCATAATGGGGCAAGGCTGAGGGCTGGACGGAGAAAAGAAGTAATGAAGAATAAAAAACTCTGTGAAATGGGCACCTCAGTCACCCGCAGTGGCCCTCATACCTACATACACCACAGCAAAGTGAGGGAATAAAATGCAGCTTTCTCTTTGGAACTGATTGAAAGAAAACATGCCTATATTACCCACCCATTCACATACATTATTTTTCTAATTTAATAGAAGGGATATAGCATTTCCCTCTTGAGTTTGATAAACAGATCTTCTCCAATTTTACTTTTTTCATTCCATAGTTTTTAATTTTAATTTAAACATAAAAATTGCACATATTTATGAGACACAATGTGATGTTTTGCTGCATGTGTACATTATGTAAGGATCAAATCAGAGTAATCAGCATATCCATCACCTCACAAATTTATCATTTCTTTGTAGTCAGAACATTCAAAATCCTCTCTTCTAGCTATTTTGAAAGATACAGTACATTATTAACTACAGTCATCCTACCGTGCAATGGAACATCAGAACTTAAACAATGGAATACTATTTAGCCACAAAAACAAGAACGAAATCCTGTCATTTGCAACAATATGGGTGAGCCTGGAACAAATTACGTTAACTGAAATAAGCCAGACACAGAAAGACAAATACTACGTGACCTCACTCATATGTGGAATCTAAAAAGTTGATCTTATACAAGTGGAGACTAGAATTGTAGTTTCCAGAGACTGTGGAGGGCTGGGAGTGGAGAGAATAGGGAGAGAGTCTTCGATTTCATTTTTAAAGAAACCAGTTAGAGAAGGCCTTCTTTGAAAGCCATAAAAACATACCTCCACCGATGTCTTCCATTGCAAATAGATCATCCTCAGTGTCTTCCAGTCGAGGGGAACCACATAGTCATCGGGCAACAAGGACTCTGTTAAAAAAGCAGGGGAACACATTTCATCTCTAATGTCGCAGTTTTTTACCCTAAATGTGAAGATATGTGAATATGATATCTACACCACCATAACGTAAAAAGTCTGGTTTTGAAGATATTTCCATGATGGCTAAAGCCATCAAGATCTCGATTAGTAAACATTATCCAGACTCAATGAAAATTCTTATTTTGTGTGTGTGTGTGTATACATATACATACGAAATGATATGTACCTGACTGGGCACTGTGGCTCACACCTGTAATCTCAGCGCTTTGAAAGGCCAAGGCAGGAGGATCGCTTGAGGCCAGGAGTTCGAGGCTGCAGTGAGCTATGCCCTCACCCCTGTACTCCAGCCTGGGTGACAGAGCAAGACCCTATCTCTTAAAAAAAATTATATGTATCATAGCTCATATTCTCATGTAAGTATAAATATATATACATATTAATACACATATAATAGCTTCAAGTGGTACTGTCGCAGGGCATAAAATTTAGCTAGTCATTACTTCCCGTGACACGTATGAAACATTACGGCTATAGCAAGTTTAGTCTTTTTGCAAATTGTTTCTTCCAGATGAGTGTCTGGGCGGAAAATCCTCACAGATAATTAAGATGCTCATAAACAAGTCCAGACATTAACATATGCATATCAACCAACCAAACCGCAGAAAATACTTTTCTTGTACTCACGCATTCCTAGTACCATGAGTAGTTTGGTTTTTTAAGGCCTACGTATGGTCCTACCATATAATCCCCCTGTCTGCAGAGCTCCTGATACCAGGATTTGAGTTCTTTGCCCTATTTCCAAGGCTGCTGACCATACACCAGAGCTTAGCTTGTCCAATCCAGCCAAACAAGTCAGTTCACAGCCTCCACTTACGGCTCCTTCCTTCCACTTCTTAAGCACATGCCATTTCCAAATGTGAAGTTCTTTCCCTCTGCTTTTCTTTCAAGCCACATTCTTTCTCCCTTGCATAAACACTTATAATCCACTTCACATTGAAGGTATCCCAGAAAAAAACATAACCCCATATTCTCTTCAACAATCCTTTTAGCCCTGCTAACCTCACTCATAAAATATTCATAAGCTTGTCATTTATATTTTCTACGTGCAGTAATTTTGTTTTGTGTTAGTCTTGTCTCCCCATTTAGAAGGCAAGCTATTTGATGAATGAGGCCTACTTCCTTTAAAAACCTTTCTGAAGTTTAATTAATGGATGCTTGATCATTGCTGATTATCATGATATTGTGCATTCAAGGGAGGAAGAGGTTTAGAATCTTTTAACAACAGTACTTCCATGCTTTCTGGTGCTGATCTAAGGCAGTGATTGTTCATCTTTTGGGGTCATGGACCCCTCTGAGAAACTGATAAAATTTATGGGCTTTCTCCCCCAAAATGGCACATAATAACACAAAAAATTTGCATACAGTTTAGAATATGAACCTTGGACTAAGATCCCTGATCTAAAATGTCTTCAATAATCATTTAAAATTCTCCAAAGCAAATGTATTTTGACTTTTAAAAATTGGTATGTTTCTTTGGTGCATCTAGGAGGATAGAAAAATTGCAGCAAACAGTTAAGATGTGATTATTCACAAAGTTTATAAATAAGATAAACATGATGCCAGAACCCCAAGAACAGATTGATAATTATGACTCCTTGGCCCTGGGACTTAGCCAATCTTGGTTCCGAGCAGCTGGAACCAAGTTTATCTGGAATAAGTTTAGGGGGAAAAGTGAGAAAACTCAGGGGACAAGCTTTGTGACAGAATAGAGCCCCAGGAACCCTGGTAGGCGTAGAAGAACAACGGAAGATAGAGTAGAGTTGTAGAAATTAGAGTTTTGGCCTCTTAACTCTTACAGCTTCTGTCTCCAAGGAAGAGTGCTGGAAGTATCAGCCATTGAGTTACAGACAGGGAAAAGTTTGATACGTGCTGTTTCCTCTTTAAGATATTTAGCATTTTAAATATGCTTATTATTGAGATGAAACTAATTTAGAATATTAAAAAATCATATTTTTGCTTGTTTTATTCACATGCAGATTGTTCATTTCCAAAAATAACTATCTTAAGAGCCTGAAGACCCTTGAAGTCAACTCGTCAGACCCCCTCCTAATCTCTTCAGTCTCCTTCTCAGGCTGCCTTTAAAAAACAAATTCAGCTCTTTTAGATATCTTTTCATCATTTAATCTTTGCCATCCCCCTTTACTAATCTTATATCTGGGAGCTGGTAACTGTGAATGAGAAAGAGAAGGGCTTGTGCTAAACAAGGGAAAGGCAGAAAGTAGAAAGATTAAAAAAAAAAAGCAGCCCATCTCTATTTGTTGCATAATCAGTTTGCCTCCTCATCCTTTATTCTTCCCAGTGGCTTTGAAATTGAGAGTGCAAGTATTCTGCAAACTCAAAGACATTTAAGGAGACCATTGATGGTGAGGGGCGGGGGCTTTGAAGGTAAAACACCACTTGCTATGGGGGCCTCACCTTCCACTGCTGAAAAGCACCATGAGATCAAGAAACTGCACGAGATCACCAACGCCAGGCAGAAACACCTCAAAAACTACTTGCTTATGTTGAACTAGATCTTTTTCTTTAGCAAAAACGAAAAAAAAATATTTACCCATTGGAACTCCAGGAGATCCAAAAAGCTTTACTAGCTCAAAGGCAAACCCTTGTGATAATGGTAGCTTAAAAGAACCAAAGTCGGCGCTTGTTAAGTCGTGGCTATCCTCGGTTGGTAAACGCTGTAAGTACTTAGGTTCTTCCCAGCTCTTCAGCTTTTCATCAAACCTTTCATTTAACAGGTGACAATCAGAAGTGGCCCTCAAAGAGCACGCAGTGTCACACTGGCTACTTAAAATTTCTGAAGAAATAAGCCCTACGTCGTTTAGTTTATTACCTACTCTTGTCTGAGATTTGAAAGTCAAAAACAGTTTCTTGTTTGTAAAAGACATCTTCCAAAAGCTAGATATATAGCGTAGCACAAGAGAAGGAATAGCATTTTTGTAAAAATAGGCAGAGTGCCTTAATCTGTTAAATGACAGGCAATGAGAGTAAAACTGTCCACCAATAAACAGAGGGGGAATTTCCATAATATGAAGGTAAAACCACGATGGATGATGATCAAAGGTCATCAGTTTTTGCTTATTCTCCTCTTCATTGTTTATGTCTGAAATTCTCTCTTTTTCATCTCCCAAAATAATTTTTAGTCCATGGTTTTGTATTAACATGTCATGTTTCTCCCTTTCTTTTTCTGCATTGATATGATTCTGTCCCAGTAAGTTAAAGTTTGGTGCCAAATTGAAAATCCTTTTCTGCCTCCTTTTCTTATTCTTTGTTGATTCTAAGGCATTCTCTGGTATATCCAGCTGAGGTAAGCATCTTTTGAAGATATTTGTTTCCGTTTCTATGAATGAATCTATAGTTTCAGGTGGAGGTGAAAAATCTTCATTTTCTGTCAGTAGCTTCTCCTCCAGAGATGTTTCTGAACTGCTTCCTGGTCCTGATGCTCCTTCAGAAGTGGAGATCAATTTAGTCAGTGGCCCCCTGCCGCCAGGACAGGCCAGCTTATGTGATCTATCTTTCTTCGGTCTCTGTTCACATATAAACTTACGAGGTACCTCAGGCCAGCTACCAAAATAGCCTTGTCTATCAGAGTCCCACTGTAACTCTTCATCAGATAAACTGGCTGTGAAAAAAGCCCAATCACTGTTTTTAGTGGCAGGTACTCCTTGTTCCTCTCTTACAACTTTATCTGAAGTTCTGGATCCATGTTGATGGCACAGAGTTGGTTCATTTGGGAGACTTTTTTCTACCAACTCTCTCTTCTTCATAAATGAGAATGTGGTTTCAGCAAATGGGTCCTGGATGTCTAAGGCTACACTCTGCCTGTTTCCAATATGCTTTGCTACCTTTGTGCCAGGGCAGTCATCACTTGTTTCACAGGGAAGGTTTTGAGTCAATGTTGAGCAAGTAACGGAGCTTTCATTTGACATCAGTGACAGACTTAGAAACCGGTCGTCACCTTCCTTGGGGAGGTAATTCTTTGGCATGTTGTCCAACTCAACTATAGACACAACATTTGGAAAACTGTCTTCAGGATCTACATTTTTCCATCTTTTTTCTTTATAGCTGTTCACAGAATCTCCTACTTCATTTTGTGGACCACCAGTGAAGGGACACTCTGATTCTCTTTTGATCTCTTCGAAGTCTTCTTCTTCACTTTGAGATGAGTCCTGATCACCTGGTGTAAGACAACTTAAGATTTCAAATGAGTTTTCCATAATTTTACTCGGACTGTTCTTCTTTTTGTTTCTTTTTCTGTTTCTCTTCTGCTTGGTTTTGCTGAGCCTGTGCCAAGTTGTCTTTAAAACTCTTTCTCTGAAATACAAAAGAATTAAGAAAATTTGTAACAATTATATGCATAACATTAGCAAACTATAACATCATATCCTTCGTGTGCAGCTTTAAAAATCTTTAGTATAAGAAATTCTAAAGTGTGCATGTGCACTTTTTAAAAAAGTGTGCACTTTTTAATTCAATTATCAAGGTGTTTCTCTCTTCAGCCACCAGAGACACTAAACCTGTAACAGTGAAAGGCTGCCTTTGTTTTCTAAGATGTAAATCACTCAGAGTATATGGTATACAGTTTTTATCTTAGGTTTTAATTTTACAATTATTTCTGAATATAAAAGTTACAGCCAAGTACAAATTATGGTATCTAATACTTTTTAAATGGTTTTAATTGTATATCTTTTGTACATGTATCCATCTTAGATATTGGGCTAATTTTAAGTGGCTTTGTTAAAGTATTAATGGTGCCAGCTGTCAGGATAATAAGAATCAACAACTTGATTTGGGGGAAAAATCACTTTTAAAAAGAGATGCTTTAATCCTATAAATTAAAAATGAGTAGAAAGTTAAAGCTAATATGCACATAATCATTTCGTAAGTCAAAAACTTTCTGAAAACCTAATATTTTCTTTAAGGAATATATTTCATGTACAGTCATGCATCGATGGGGCTACATTCTAAGAAATGTGGCACTAGGCGATTTCATGGTTGTGTGAACATCACTTACACAAACCTAGATGGGATAGCCTACTCCACAACTAGGCTATATGGTATGGCCTATTGCTCCTAGGCTACAAACCCATACAGCATGTTACTGTACTGAATACTATCGGTAACTGTAAAACAATGGTAAGTATGTGTGGATCTAAACATATCTAAGCATAGAAAAGGTACAGTGAAGATGCCATATTATAATCTCATGGGACCACTCTTACATATGTGGTCTGTTATTGACCAAATTGTTGTTATGTGGTGCATGACTGTATATGCAAAACCTACCAATAAATATCTTGGATTTTTTAATATCTTAGATTTTGAAAAATTAAAAAATGGCTGTTATAGTCACAAAATGGCACAATTTTAGTGGCTTTAATAGCTAGGTTTTCTCTAGACATAAAGAATGGTTAATATTGAACAGCTGAGACCAGAATTTGGGTGATATGCTTTGACTAGCTAGTAGTTGTTCTAAACCAGAGGCTACACCACTACTTTGTGGGGTGTTTGGAAATGTGTGAAGGCATTTTGGGTAGTCAGAATGACTGGTAATGTGTTACGAGCATTTGGCCCTGAGGCCAAGGATACTAACCATCTTGCAACGCCCAGTGAATGATTATTCCACCCTAAAGAGCGATAGCCTCTCATCTAGCACAGTGAAAGTTCATAACTCCCCTTAACTGACAACAGTATTCCATCCTATGGAAAAAGGAGTATTTAGGAAATTTTCTAACTTAAAATATAAAGGTAGTTATGCTGTCTTTCACCCTGGATAATCAGAGTGAGGGACAAAGTGCTGATGGAGACATAGGTGCAGCAGGGGAAGAACAACAGGCATAGCTGAGGGGAAGATCCAGGACAGAGGAATAGAAAAGCAAACAGACATGGAAAAGGAGGAGACGATGATGAAAAGAGAATGGTCAGTTGGTTGGCTGGCCATTGGACAAATGGACTTCTTAAACCTTGCCATGGCCTCTGGCCTCGTTTACTCCATTCCATGCTCCTGGGCAATTGTCAACAGGCAGGACACATGATCACCTTGCTCTCTGTCACTTAGTTGCTGCTGCCCTTTGTTTACACTTTCATGGATGTTGGCTCAGAAAGAACACCAAGGAACACTAATGTAGCTAGAAATAGTTGTGATGGGGCCTCTACAGAAAGGATGACAGGTAAAGAACGCCATCTCTGCTAGTAGCTCTCCTTCATGGCCAGTTCTACCCAATTCCAATGAAAGTTCTAGTTGAAGTGAAAGGTGCAACATCAGTTATGAAATTCCTGCTGCAGACTAGTATGTCGTTCCAAAAACAAACTCCCCTGTCTTTGCCCCAATGTGAAGCAACCTATTGCAGAGCAAGGAGAAAAAGAATGAATGGAGTTTGTTGTTGGTTTATTTATTGGATTAAGTGGTAATATACTAAAGATTTAAGACTCACTCCAGCACTGGTGATTCTGTGGCACTGAATACACTTAATTTGCAGTCACTGTGCCTCTGAACAGCTCTATACTATACAATGAAAGAGAATCCTGATCTAGGGAAATGGAGTTACTAGAATATGGTTCATCACCAAAATGTTTATAACTCCCTGTGCCATTTGAAAGACTAACGTCCACAATTCTACTTTGAAATTAGCTTTAAAAAAACTATTTATTATACACTTACTATGTAAGGACTGTCTCATTGCTTTACATGTACCAACTCACCTAATCTTCACACCTGTGTGAAGTAAGGACAAGCAAGGCTACTTTTAACCCCATCTCACAAAGGCAACCAAAATACAGAGATGTTAGAGAACTTGCCCAGGGTCACACGGCTAGTGGTAGGTTCAGACCTAGTTTGACTGGCTCTAGAGTCCACATTCTTTAACCATTATGCAAAACTGCCTCTCAATTTAAAAAGAGAATTGTATAAAACGCTTCCTTCTTTTTCTTCCTCCTCTCATCTTTAAACCTTCATATTTGCATAAACAGAGATATTTGGCTGGCAAGGGCTGTGTCCTTTTCATGAGAGCAGTACTTGCGCTTTAAGTACCCCTATTATCACTAACCTAATAGTGTCTTGAGACTTTCCTCTTGTCCTCTTTCCTCTCTCTGGATCCAATCAAACAAGAAATAGCAATAGGAAGTGAGAGGCGATACTTTGGAGCAGGAAACCCTCTCCCTGATCTGCCCTGGTGTCAGGGCTCCATATGAGCAGTGGGAAGGGCCTCGCAGATTGCCCACACTTAGATAAACAGATGGGCACAGTGGCTCCTCCTGGAGTCAGCTCATTCATCATGGGGTGAAGGCAATGAGAAGTGATCACATTCTGGATAAGTTTTTGAAGGATAAACAAGCAAGATTCAAAAACAAACTGGATGTGGGGGATGAGAAAAAAAGATTAAGAATTAAGTAGGAGTGCAAGAATTTTGGCTTGAATAGCTGGAGGGTGAAGTGACCATTTACCAAGACATAGAAGTCTATGCAAGACATGGGAGAGAACTGGTAAATCAGCTGACTCAAAGGTCATCTCAGAGTCTGAACCGATAGACCAATGTGTCCTTACAGAAGACATCAGAAAGTGAAAAAGATGAGGGCTTCTCTAATATTCCTCAAGAGTTCCTTTGTTTTCTAAATGGATTACAGTCGGGGACCCGCTTAGAGAAAAAATAATTAGGACCTGTTAATGATAACAATCCACTATGACTGCAGAAGTGAGCACTGGATCATGAAAGAATGAGGTGACTTAAAAAATAAACTATCAGAGTCTGGGAGATCAGGTCACTTATGAAGGAAGTTTGCTAAGAGTTCATTGAAGGAGTCTCTAAGGGTTAGAATTTCACCTGAAAATACAACACAATGTCAAGAGGTATAAAAACCAAAAGACTGACTCTACAAGGAAATACACCAAAGACATGCACTAGTTCTGCACCACGAAAGCTCTGTATAGCTATCACACCTGTTCCAGAAACAGTGGACCAGGCCTTCTGGAAAGGGAACACAAACCAGTAACAGTGACTTGTGAAGCTCCCAGAAGAAAAGAGACTTGGTAGTGAAGGTGGTAACTTCTGCTGGAATGTGTATGCATCTGAGATGGCCAACAGTGGCTGCTTTCTCTTCGGGAATATCTTTCTATAAAATGTGAGAGGCTCATCACAGCTGTGTCAAGGCTTGTTGAACTTGATCTCACTTGTGCTGATTCACTTAGGAATGAACGGCACCCTTAGAAGAAAAGAAACATCGTTAAATGAAAGTCATGGAGAGGAAATCGGGAGAGTTAGAGGCACAGGCTAGCTTTAGAAAAGAAAGGAGGAAATAAGAAATGAACAAATGGTAACAAACACATCTATGATGAATAAGATTTCGCTTTCTAGATGAAGGCTTAGAATCCAAGCTCCTGGGTAGGGATAGAATGTGCCTCTCAAGAATTAGAGAGCGAGTGTTTGCTCAGAGACAAGCCAACCTGACTAAGTGAACTAAGAGAGCATCCAGATAAGGCTGGAGAAAGTGAGGGGGCATGTATGGTAACTAATAAATCTTCATGAAAAAATAATTAAAGGGGCAAGAAACAGGATTTCCTATTGCAGAATCCTATATACTAATTCATGATCATGGACAATGAATGAAAAAAATCAGAGATTAAAACACATGCAAATTATAAAAGAAAGGTCTCACAGCTTTGTGGAATGGCTGTGGTTGAAATAACCCAGGCCTGGGTCCTGGTCCTGGGTCAGTAATAAGCCGGAAGTGGGATCTTGGGCAAATCAGGTCTCTTTTCTAAAATGGGGATGATATTACCTCCTTGCAGAGTTGTTATAAGGATTATTAATTATAGATGCCCTTAAATGATCTCTATATGTCAGATCTCAATTACATGTCATGTAACTGACATGGCAGATCAATTGATAACGGTCAACACCGATGGCACACTGAATGCTAGATGGCTGTTTTCTAGCGTAACGGCCCCCTTCTGCTCTCGTTGCTAGAACTGCATATTTACAAGGAGTCAGATGAGTTTATTCCCAAGTCTGTTTACACCAATCAAATTGTTACTATAATTACGTAGTTTGTCTCACTAAAGAGGAAATGCTAAACAATTAGGTATAGGATAGGTAACAGGATAACTATAACATCTGGTTAAAAATCATAATAAGGACCTATGATTCTTTACTCATACTCTCTGAAGATTTCTTTGGGTTCCCCCTCCAATTTATACCAATAGAAACTAGAAATTCTTGCATTACAGGTGTGGTTCACGCATGAAAAAAGATAAACTACACAGAACAGAATCATACATAAATCCTGGTGAATAAAACTACATGTAAGCATGTATTTTA